CGCTCCATGCCCATTTTTGGAGCGACAGTCCTGGAATCCAGAGTTGCAAGTGAGGTGGTGATACGGCAAGCAGACGGTGGCAAAGTACGGCTTAAAAGCTCTACATCTGGCAAGTGGCCGGCATACCACCCCAATGGACATCGGAACAGTACATGTAGAGTAGCATCTCTACGTGACAGGGTATGAGCGCAAGTGAGTTCTTATGCTCTACTAATGTGCATTGATTCTGTGACGATAGTTGGTGTACAGATTTCATCACATGTGCCTTAGGCGGGATTTGCTATTGTCACTGGAAAATTCAGCCCTAACAAACAGTGTGATGGATGAATTTGACTCCAGGTATCTGCTTTTGGGAATGCCATGTCAGTGTTCTAGCCAGGTCAAAATAGTAGGAGGGTGGGCATGGGAAAAAGTTACGCGCGCAAACGGAGTGGGGGGGGGGGGGGGGGCGCTGCGCCCCCCTACCCCCTTTAGCTAGAACCCTGCATGTATGCATGTCTGGCGTGCTGCTGCTATAATGTTGTGGCAGCAGCATTTTGGTGCGATGGACTGTTCTTGTAACGGTGTACCTACCCATTTGCTATTGCCCGATGTCGTGTTTTGTCAGTTGTGCCTGTTTGAAGGTGCCAGGCCAGCTTGTGTTGGTGCGTTCCCGTTAAGTTGCCAGGGCACCATATTTGTAACGGCGTTCCCGTTTTGCTGTTGTGGGGCTGTGTTTGTATCGGTGTGTTCCCGTTGAAGTTGACGGGGTACCACGTTAGTGGATTGTGCCTGGTTGAAGTTGCCAGGCCAATCCTGTAACGCACACCTGTTTGCTGATAATTGGGGACATGTTTGTCCATTTTGCTCGAGATTCACATGGCTGCGCCAGTTGCCTTGTGCGGATTAGACTGTTATCTGGCACTATTCTTGATCTGTTTTATTCAGATTCAGATCAGCTATTGTTCCTATACGAGAATCTGTGGGTGCACATCCAATTCATTTGCAGATTTGCGTGCTTCTCCTGCAACGGGCGTTTACATGGTACATGGTGTGTGGGCGTATGTGAGGTGTGTTCATGCTGTACAGGCCAGTATTGCCAAGCACTGGGGACCTTTGGCAATCTGAAGAATGTTTTGTCCTAGAATCGATCCTTGGATCTGTGGCGTTGCAGTTGTGGTGCTCCCGACCCTCTTGCGCGATGGCCGCGACTCTCTTGCGCGATGGCCGCGGAGACTTGGTGAAAAGGTTCGAGACCTACGGCATCTCAATATCTTCCACCACAATCAATACATCAGCACCACCATCGAGTGTAGCGACATCAGCAATAGAAGACGCACATGATATCATTCCCCCTTAGCGAAGACCCGGGAATACCTGAGAAGATGTTAGCCGCGACTTTACTGGAAAAGTCGTCGGTGACAACAGCAGTCCATATTTTAGCTGCATGCAGTTAGGTCTCTCAACAAGTGTACCCAAAGTTTTCAAGCTAATACACAAGCAAGTTCACCAGGGTCCGAGTATATTTTCCTACACCTCTCCCTGTTTGTTGTTGTTATTTCTGCATTCAAATTGTTTGTGTACCTGTACATTTATTACAGTAGAGCCACGCATCCACGGCTGTTGTTTCCAAGGGGTCAGGCTCGTCAGTTATACAAAACCTTTCAGCAATCTGGCCTTAGGCTTAGTTCCTTGACTTCTTGTACCACTTTCTTAGATGCACATCCCACTGGATAGTGAGCAATACGTGTGTAGCAGAATCAGTATTCCAGAAAAGCAGAGACTTGAGTCTATTGACACTGCGTTTCGTATTAAAACGTTATTTGGCTGTGGTGTTCCTAGAGGTATACACGTACATTCCTGGGTCCCACGTTCTGTGACGCCCGACTGTATTCGTGGTGCCTTAAAGGGGAAGTTAAGGCAAAAATTAAAATTTCACCAGTTGTAGTCTTCGGGGTGCTGAGTCGAATGGTCGTGGTCCGAGGAAGCTGAGACGCTCCCTTCCTACTTGAATCCCAATCGAACTCGCGCACTTCCACCGAAACTGGGTGACTGCGCCCTACTAGATGGGGATTTGTATGCAAAATGTCACTAAAAGCGCCATTTCGTTCTTATAAAAGCACGGATGACCGCGATTGGCCCATATGTTGTAGTCTTTTGGACGCTGAGTCGACTGGTTTTGGTCCGAAAAGGCTGCGATGCAGCGTTCCTCCTTTATTCCCAATCGAACATGGTTGAACAAGCGGTCACGTGCTCCTGCGTACACCAGTCACCTGGTCACCGTGCCTGCAGGGTACAACTTACTAGCCTGTTTGACCTTTTTTGGGTGCAGTCCTGTCACTCGAGTTGAACTCGAGTTGAACCTTGGTGTGAAAGTTGTCACCTGCTGGCGTGGTGACCAGGTGATTTGGGCACCCAGGACCACGTGACCGCTTCTTCAACCATGTTCGATTGGGAATAAAGGAGGAACGCTGCATCGCAGCCTTTTCGGACCAAAACCAGTCGACTCAGCGTCCAAAAGACTGCAACATATGGGCCAATCGCGGTCATCCGTGCTTTTATAAGAACGAAATGGCGCTTTTAGTGACATTTTGCATACAAATCCCCATCTAGTAGGGCGCAGTCACCCAGTTTCGGTGGAAGTGCGCGAGTTCGATTGGGATTCAAGTAGGAAGGGAGCGTCTCAGCTTCCTCGGACCACAACCATTCAACTCAGCACCCCGAAGACTACAACTGGCACTCGGGAAAACCTGCCTGAGGCTGTGAGGCTGCAGAGCGTTGACTGTGTTTTGCTTAAAAAAAACCATCAGGTCTTCCCAGATTTTCTAGTCTGGCCACTCTTCGGTTTCAAAACCTAGTGTGGTGGTGGAAAGCCTAGCAGTGTTGTGTGTGCATGTGACGTATTTTGTACAGTGCTGGCCAGAGAAATCCAACCTCGTTAATAAAGTAGCGCCGCGTTCGAGAGCACAGACCGGTCCAGTATGTATACTACTAGGGCTGCGTAGCGCCCGGCGCAATTTTATTCATAAGGTTGGATTTCTTTGGCCAGCTCTGTTTGTGCGCAATTGTGGTCACAGTGGCAGTAGTGGGTGAGGGGTAGACTCAGTTACTACGAAGATGATGTACATGATGGTGTATACAGTCATGTAGTTGAATGTTACTTCGGGCTTAGACCCAGAGGTTCTTGCAATGATGACCCCGGGCATGTATCATTCAGCTACCGTTGTCATAATGGCACTAGTTGATAGAACACCTGTATAAAAGTACATGCTGTATATCTAGCATTTTCCAAAATAGCACTCCGTACTTCGAGGCTGCAGCCGTTTTGCATGCAATGTTGTATGTGTTGATCGGTTGACAGCATGTGACAAAGCCGAGGACACACTGGTGTATCAGGAGCACTGTTTTTTAACACAGTGCGTCCCCCGCCATGTAACATGCTGTCAACCGATCAAAATGTTAATTTACCAACATTATACATGTAGGGCTGTGCAGGCTTTCAAAATTCTTCCTTGTTGAAGTAGAATATCGTGCTTGTGGGGGCTTCCTTTGCCAGATGTTCTATGCGTATCTCAATGACATCAGTTTCAGCACTCGGGCAAGGCACATTCGGGCCTACACATGTAGCCTTGAATTCTGGCTTGGAGGCATTATTTATCTATTTTCATGGCTGCTAGGTTCATCCTTAGTTGGGAGTTATTTCTCCGTGATTCGCTGATGAGTCCACAAAGGACGAAACAGCTAGACAGTACTAGTGTCATATCGGCCTCGGCAGCTGACGGGTTCTCCCGGGCTGTACGACAAACTTCCCCGGGCTGTACGACAAACTTCCCCGGGTTGTACGACGAACTAACTACTCTGCCGGTACTAGTTTACATGTTGGGTGAACGTGTTCCCCTCATGAGCGCGCGTTTGTACGGCAGTTGTCTTTTGTATCTACTTGTCACTTTTATCAATGCATGGGCCGCGGGATGTTGTATCTGCTAACTGTCTTATCGTATACGCTGGCTGTTTAGTTAATTCATAAATAATACGCATTTCTCCTTGTCTTCTCCCATTGGTCAATTCTGCATAGCAACAAGCTCTCTATGGTCTGATTGGTTGGTTTTTCCCGCCTTTGCTACGCCTTTGTCTAACTCGATCCTTTTTGTTCTCGATATAACTCCTGCTGCTTCTGATCAAAAGTACCAACCTTCCTTCGACCTTCACTCTTGAATCGAGCTGGAATCATAGTGACTCTCAACCTTATTCGAATGACCAAGGTGAGCGTGTGTGGCTGAATGGATACTTGGATCAACTATATTGGTTGATGACCTGGTGGGGTTACTACGGCAATGCGAATGTATATGTTGTAGCCTTGAGATCGGTATTGTGTATGTCCGGCACGACACTAGTGCTGTCCCCAGATCGTGTATTCTAAATCCATAATACTGACGCTCAATCTCCGGACAGCTGTTTCAGCCTTTTTAGGTCCCATCAGTGGAGCTCAGAGCGGGAGGTTAAACAAATGGCAATACGGTCTATATGAAATGAACAAAAAAGCAATTTGAAAATGGCTCAAAGCATCAAAGTCAGCGAGCTATCTGCAAGACACGTACAAAGAGAGCTTTGCACGAAGGCAGATACATATTACATTATACCTTTGACACTAACCAAAAAGAGTGCTCAATCAAGTCAACGCAAGGCAGCGTAATGCGGTGATCGAGTCTATAAAAAGCTATAGTGACATGTAGCCAGGCCCCCAGCACAATAAGCTGACTTGCATCATGCTAAAATCGTTCACACAAATCTCTTTTAATAATTATTACCCAATGCTGTAGACAGCAATAATTATTATATAGATTGCAGGATAGGGTGGTTGCACCAGGAAGTGCTTTCTCTGCGATAGTGGGACCAGCCAAGATTGCAGTACAGATGTCCACCATCAATCCAGCACTTCATTGATACACCAGCATGATTTCCGGAGTTATTACCATTCATCGACACATGCCCCCCCCCCCCCCCCCCAGTTCTTCGGCACCTGACCCTAGTTCTATTTGGGCCGCACTACTTTGTAGCAGTACTAGAACTGGATGCACGTGATATCCACTGGAACTGGCGCTGGCCAGGAGCTGACCCACCGCCGTGCCTTCCAGTGTCAATTTTGCTTATGTGATCGTACCACAACCTGGAACATTATCAGTACTCGCCTCTGTTGACTTGCCAGCACTAGTTCTGGTGGATCCGGGCATGTTTCTGCCTTCTCTTAAAAGCATGTATTCTCCTGCAGGTGCATCTTTCACCTCCTTCTAATGCGCGAGCACATTTTCTGTGGAGATTCAACGACACATACACCAGAAAATACAGAACGGAACAGTGGCTGCCAATGCGACACAAGTACCACATAGACCTAAAAACTCATAAGCACCCTGGGAGTTAGATGCATTTACGGGCAGTATGCCAGGATTTGCGCAGCTAATTTAAAATCAGATTAGCAATGCTGTGTGCTACCTAGGCGGCATCTTGGACTCAAAAACCAACCGATTGTGGTCCAACCCAACCGACAGCGTTGTCGGTGGGTTCCGATTGGCAGGTGTTGGATGGACGTATGATCCATGCGTCCCCACAAGCAATGAGAAGTTAACAATGCCACTAAGGATATAATATCGCGGACAGCAGTACAATGAAACTGGGCCATTCATTATCAGCAATATCAGGGGTATATCCCATCCGATAAGACGTACAGCTCGTGTATGGCGCACTTTACAGCAGGTCCCGACATAGCTTGCCCCGTGCCCTTTACTACTCCTGGGCCCAAACTGTTGTACAATATTCGAGAGGGTCTAGCGTAGTGAGTGTGAACAGAACCTAGCAAACCATATCTCCAAGTGATTCACATGTTGGTATATTCTCCGTTATCATACATCAATTCCGAGCAATTTGACACCCGAATATTCTCGCACCACTACTGCTGAAGTATTGACCACAAACCATGTTCCATTTGACTTACAAAAGGAACTTGCAAAAGGCATGAGAGCACTGGAATCTGTAAAGACTCTCGCATTATTAGCCACCATACATACCTTTTGGGAAGTCGTGTTGGAAGCAGAATGCTCGGAGAGCAGAGCTCAGTGAGATCTGCATACAGTAACACAGCGACAATGAATCACATGAACAGAAGGAAGCAGTCGTATTCGTACACATCTGAATATGCGCTTATGGGAGGAAAATCCGTGCGACAAAAGAGGACCGTGTTATGCAGGTGTATGTCTTACCCGGGTACGTACTAAGTGAGTTCCACCGTACGTATATAATTGTATTGCAATTGAATCACTCGACTGACTGGAGCCAAAAATATCAATTGGCACTTACTCCGGTTACCCGAATGTTTCGGTACCACTATCATTAGGTTTGTTGCAATCGAACAAAGTCATAGTTGAGTCATTTTCAATGCGTTAGGTGTTACCTGACGTGCCAACTGCATCAGCCGCTATGTCAGATTCCACCAGGCATGCACCAAACCAGGCGCAATGCGCACACTGATGATGGTGGTTGTCACACAACGAGCAGTAGTAAAAGTGAAAGGACTTTTTGCATGTGATTTTGTTGTAATTTGTGCCAGTCGAATTGTCTCAGTGTAACTAGTTTATCGTTAGCTTACTAGTTTGTTTATACAAAAGAGAAAGACCAAGGAACTACAAGTTACGCTATACTGTCCACTAACACCACCAGTTACTAAACAATCAGCTCATGCGATAGCATTGCACGACACTGAACAGCTCTAGCACATCTTGGATGCGCACTCCAACAGCCTTGTGGACGACGACCGTCACTGGAGAATCGGTCCGTCGCTCCACCAGCCCGGCGGCACAGTGGACAGTGCCTTGGGGGTGTCAGCCATGGATCAGGCTGATATGGCATACTTGCCAACCCCTGGCAAACAGTTTCCTTGACACTGATGGCGTTTTTCCTTGATTTTGCCCATTTTTCCTTGATCTGCAATTTTTACATCATAATTGTGCAAAACACTGTATATGACATCATAGTGACGTCACCATGACCACAAAACATTCGCAAATAGTACCGCATGTACGACAAAACGTGCTTTTTCATGCGTTATCTCAAAAGTTCTCGCTCGCTAGACCTTGACGTGGGCACAGCACTTCGAGCGAGTGCCCAAAACCGAAAATCAACAAAAAAAAAGGTGCTGACGGACATTTTCGAAAATCCGGTAGATGTTATAACTTTTCCGGTATACCGGGACGAAAGCGAGGTTTCCTGGATTTTCCCGGAAATTCCGGTAGGGTTGGCAAGTATGATATGGACGTGGTGGAGACGGAAATGATGTTTGCAAGGAAGAGTGATATGCGTATGTGCTCTCCGCCAGTTGTTGAAGCAACAGTCCGGCAGTGGAAAGTCGGCAAGGTTAAGATAAGTGACCAACTGGGTGAAAGTACACCAAATGTGGCCCATCTCTTGAATGGTGCGGACCACGGCAAGGACCTGAAGTTGAAGGTGGTCAATGGCAACACCGCATGGTCGACGTCAATGGGAACATCAAGCCATCAAGTTGGTGGAACTATGGAATGTCCGTCGCAGGATGCAGCGGCAGGGTAACATGCTCAGGGAAGAGTACAGCGACGATGATCAGCTGTGTCTTGCACGCAGTTGTATTGATCGTGGCGTGCAGAACAACAGAGTCAGTTGCGGTATTCGTACATTTGTCTGTTTAGGATTGTGATCCCCAGGAAGTCCTTTGGTGAGGAGAGATGTCACGCAACGAGCAGTAGTACGGGAGCCAGGCATCAAAAAAGTGACTGAAAAAAACTTTCGTTTCCACTTCGTCTGCACAACAATTTGACTGCAGATAATGAAAGCAGTGGCCTTCCTGACACGGAATCCACGAAAAATTGCTTCAAAATGCGAATGGAAGGCCTCCATCGAGTTACTTTTCTCGCACCTGTTCAGCCATTGCCGCTTGTCGCTTGCGCTGAGTTTCTTCTCCGCGCGAGCAGTCACGCAACGGTAAGTTTTCCTCACGGGACTGTCCCGTCCATTGTACGGCGAACTGAGCATAGTCTGCGCTGCGCGAAACACGCGTACAGAGTCTAGTCTCGCACCTCACGTGCTCAGCGCGGTCCACGTGGAGTGTTAAGTTTCAAAAGTGAACTCGGATGTGTCGATTCACGTACTACTACTGCGCCGAGATAAGAAACCCCTTTGAATAAATCACGCGCTAGCGCTCTTCCACAAGAAAATTCATCCGAAAAATATGTTCGGCAAAGTGAGCTTTTTCCGAACAAACATGCCGCATCTTCGTGTGCATTTTCGACCTCGCTCCCGCGTGCTGAATCTTTTGCCGAATTTCGGAATGCAAAACCTCACTAATATGATACCAACAGAATGTAATGGTGTGCGTGCATGAGTACAGAGTCGGTGCGTACCGACTGTCAGCACAGGTGTGGAAAGCAGCATATGTAAATGGATAGGAGCACAAACGGTGCCGCGTGCATATATGTGTCGGTAGAGCATGAGACTCTTAATCTCAGGGTCGTGGGTTTGAGCCCCACGTTGGGCGCCAAATGTCGTCTCGGTTGGAGAACGAGCTGCCTCTACTATACCCTCGCCACGCCACACATCAAACGGACTAGTCAAGTGGTTTTTCTCTAGAGGTAGAGAGAGAGCTATTCATTACTACACTTCAGGAGACGACGGGAGAACTGACAACTGACATGGCAACAGGAAACATGATATCGGAAAGTGGTGCCCTCATCAGCACAAAAAAGTGGCGTACTCGATATCATATCAGCACAAAAAGGTGCACGTGTCAGCAATACAACAAAGCAGCGCAGCAGCATATACGGGTCAGCAGCACAGAGACACAAATACAGCAGCAGGTACGACAAAGAGACAACACGTGCAGCCACATGTACAACATAATATGTTTATAGGTGTGACAGTCCATATATGTACGTGTGGACACTACACACGATGAGAACATGCAAAGTATGGAGACCCAGACTGTGTGGTCAGCAGGACACAGCCCGCACAGGATGGAACAGACAACTAAACGTAATAAAGCACCACGTACCGGCGGACTAGTCAACGCTGATGGGAGAAGTGGCACCCTCTGAGGCAGTTACGGATGCTAGAACTCTACAGCCAGACCAACACCAATATAAAACAAAAGGGTACACCACACCAGGAAGCAAGTCAAATAAAGATGTGTGAACAACGGCCACACACCACAGAAAAGGATACAGAACAAAAACTCAATTACCGACACCATAGACACTGCAAAATCCAAACAGAAGGAAAATACTAACTCCCTGAGGACACTGAGCATGAGGCAAACGAGCAAGCAACATCTTGCCGATGTTCCACCGTGTAACAACAATTTGCCGGGCCGCGCTGGCCACCGGACTGTATGGTAGGGGTATTACACCTGGACCTCAAGACCAACGGGCGAAGGACAGCAGGCCGGGCCCAGGTAAATACAATGAGGAGCACTGTCTACAACTACAGAAATAACCCAAACCCATGCCAATCTGACCAACATACCTTCCCTGCGCATCCATTCCTAGTGTACGGGTCTGAAAGATGAAAGATGGAGCGCTTGTATACACGGTCCCGGAAAGCCTGCTTCGGCCGCTCGGCAGCAGCTTCGTAGTGGTGGTCAAGGGTCGAAGACCGACGGATACGGATCAACTCCCCAGTGAACGCACCTTTGCCCATATTACCGAAAACTGTGGTGTCCAGGAAATCAATGCCATCATGTGCCAGTTCATGAGCAAACTTGAGGGCCGAACACTTATAAATCCTATCTAAAGTGCGCTGAACTTGACCTTCGCAACCATGCAATGATAAAGCGTCTATAAACCTGAACCTCTAAACCCTCCCCCTCTAAGATCGGCAAAACGTACCGCTTCTCCAAATACAGTATAACAATGTCGGCATAGACCACTGCTGCAGGCGAACCCATGGCAGTCCCTTGGATCTGCCGAAACACATCGTTACCATACACGAACTCATTTTTCTTCCGAATGACTGACATCATGGAAGTCACTGCTGTTATTAACCGTGTACAAAGGGCCAGGGGCATCTACCTTGTACACCTGTGTGTGATATACCACGACAACCGAGCTCGTTGGGGATGTTGGTGTAAAGTCTGGTCACATCTATACTCAAATATAAATGATCGTCCCGCACAGGCAAACCTTCTACCAAGTTGATGAAATCCGCAGTTGAGGTCAGAACAGTACTTTCCTCACGTACATACGGGTTCAGTAGAAAGTCAGTGAACTCAGCGGGATAGTAGACAGGACTATTTAGACCAACAATAGGCCTAACCTTCAGGGCACAGGGCTTATGTGTTTTGATAAGTCTCCTGAAAACGGGCATGCGCCCCCGGTGCGACTAAGAACAGTGACATATATTAGTGGTCATACGATGCTCAATGCGATGCCTAGTCATGGTGAGTAAAAAATTGACTCGGGTCGCTCACACGAAGTCTCCACACAGCCTTGAGCCTGTTGGTTGCCATCCGCAGTCTAGCCACATGTTCATCTAGCCCCTCAGGCCAAAAAAAACAGTCATTTATAATGTTGGGCATTGTGATGCTGGGCACGACCTATATCATCATGGTGAGATCCGTCCACGACTACTATCACAATAGACTGCCTTTGAATATGCCTGAGTCTGATCGCGTTCTAGCTCCCAAACTATGTGCTGCATGTGTACACTCCGCCTATGGTTAGTCTACTCCAGAACAACGCCTGGAGAGGTTCATTGGGGGCATGATGTCCCCACCCCATTCCCTCCTTGCCCCCTGCACCTGAAGTACCGGTATTGCCCCCCCCCCTCCCCAAACAAATTACAGCACAGAAAGACCACTGGGGAGCACGAAGCAGTAGGCAAAGTTGACGATGCCAGTGCAGACACGACGGACCTCGGTCACCACACTGGCACCGTATAGTCTCCAAGGGACATAGCTACCAGAGAACACACAGAATGGGAGTATATAGTGCTATCCCGGAGGATAGACAACCTCCTATACACAAAATATCTACTGATAGAGTTCTGTGTAGACCCTATGTGCACATATGTGTGGATGAGTACTGGTAACCGGACAGCTAACTCTAGTCTAAGTAAAATAAATGTAGAATGTAGACCCTGGGCAAAAAAATAAGTAAATAAAAATATTGACTAGTTTGAGGGAAAGGCACAAACGGGAAAAGTCTGAAGAAAAATTGACTGTCACCAAAAAAATAATAATAGCAACACACGAGGGAACTCGGATGGAGAGCCAAGGATTAAGATTAAAAAAGAGGACCATCAGTTAACGAGTTATCCGTTTTGTCCAACACTAACGGAAATAAACGTGATGTAGCTTAGCATCAGGTCGTTGAATGTCATGATCTCATCAGTCAGTTTTTGTGCTGATTGTTGCACATTTTTGACTCAGCAGTATTCTGCATATAACCGTTAGTGTTGGACAAAACGGATAACTTGTAAACATGAGGGAACACTCATCCTTACCCAAGTCCCAACGTCAGCACTCGGCGCCGCTCCGAACCAAGAGGAACATTGGAGAGATCGTCCATCAGCTCCTCTCTCGTCCTGCGATCAAATCGCCTAATGCTAAAACACAAGAAGATAGGAAAGGCAAGTAGAATAAATAAATCAATAAAATAATAAACAACAATACAAGTCTGAACAGCTGCAAACGTAATGGACGATCCGAACAAGACCAATGATATACCTAGAAATTCTACAAGGCACTAGGAAACATCCATACCTGCTCAAACTGAAGAGGACAACATAGAAGAAGCCTTACGGTAAAGGAGGGCACTACTCAAGTGTTCCTGGGATAGCTATGGTCTTTGCTATGCTATTGATTTGCAGTCTGATTCATCTGAAAAACGAAGTTTCAACTTTCAAGCATTTAATTTACAGTCCTACCAACCATCCACTCGGAAAACCTGCAAGAAGGCACCACTCCCTGCTCAATACACAGTGTTTCGGGATAATTAACCCTCATCAGTTGAGTTTGAGTAGGCTGAGGAAGATTGCGCCTGAAGAGCACCATTTATATGGTGCTCTCCATGTCCAAACATCACCAGGGATACAAACTTACAGAGACGCTTTGTTTGCAGCGCGACAAACACCTCGTGAACACCAGATAGCAGTGCGAGTCAGTGTCGCTCCTGGACGGTGAGAGCTGTGTTTTGACAGAGAGAGAGAGAGAGAGAGAGAGAGAGAGAGAGAGAGAGAGAGAGAGAGAGAGACACACACACACACACACACACACACACACACACACACACACACACACACACACAGTCACAGACAGAGACAGACAGGCAGGCAGACAGACAGACAGACAGACAGACAGACAGACAGACAGACAGACAGACAGACAGACAGACAGACAGACAGACAGAAAGAGAAACAGAAGGAGAGAAGACAGAGATAGAAAGGCAGAATGAGTACAAAAATAGCGTACTACAGTACTACAGCAAGAGCTTAACTTCCCCTTTAACCACTGAGCTGTGGATTTATGCAGTATATAGCTCATGCGTTCGTTCTGCTTCTTGCTTCGTTGTTGTCTCAGTGGACTTCGCTGTTGCCTCAGTGGTGTTTGTTGGCTCTCCGAAAGGAGCGCAGTTTGAGCGGGAACCCTCGACCGGATGGGTAAGTCTTAAAAGACAATTTCATATCGGTTCGAATGCTATATCTCTCGCTAGCACACGATAAGCCAACACCCTTGTCGCTGATCCGATGGCCCAGGTACTTTAGGGACGTGCATCTTGATCTTTCCTTGTTCTATGTAAATAAACTTTAGTTGTTGTCTGGGACTTGTGGAGTGAAGTTGATCTATGGAGTGCAGGCACTAACTTGATGTTCACTCAGGAACATTACATGGTGTCAGAAGTAGCAGTTAGTCATGTCGTCTGCCAAATTTCCTGTACCTGCCCCGTTCGATTTCTCCACCCCAGAAGCATGGCCACTCTGGAAGACCCGTTTTGAACGCTTTAGTTCTTTGTCCATATTGAACGAGGCGGACGGGCAACGCCAAGTAGACACATTAGTTTACTCCATGGGAGCCGAAGCCGATCCTATCTTTGAGTCTCTGTCTCTGTCCGCGGATGATAAGAAGAAACTCGACAAGGTACTGGAGGCCTTTGACAAGTATTTTCGCCCGGGTGTAAACGTAATCCACCAACGGACATTGTTTGAAAGGTGTGTCCAGAACCCAGGTGAATCCGTGGAAGAGTATGTGCGTCGTCTCCGTGCCGCAGCCAAATATTGCGCGTTTGACAAGTCCGATGAGCGTATCCGCGACAGGTTGGTGGCCCATATGACGAACCGAGAATTTTCGAAGAAGCTACAGCTCGAGGATCACGCTCAGCTGACACTCGAGACTGCCGTGAGCTTGGCACGCAAAACGGAGTCCGTAAACGCCGAGGTCGCCCAGCAAACGCCCCGGGTGAGCCAAGCTGCTGCAGCTACCTCACCGCAACGGAAACACAGCAAGTCCCCTGCTTACGCAAGATCCGGATCGACGGGAAAGCGACCACAGGTCAAGTCCCAACGAGACTCGAGCAACAGTAAGAAGTGCTCGTGGTGTGGCTCCTCCAAAGACCACAAATCGAACCGTGACGAATGCCCTGCCAAGGACAAGTCTTGTAACAAGTGTCGTAAGTCTGGACACTTCGCCAGCGTCTGCCGGTCTGCCTCCGCCAGTGCAGCACACAACGATTATGTGCATGTAGCTGAGTTTGACTTGCAGTCGGACCCCGTCGGCGAAAATTTCCTTGGAGCTGCTTCTACCCACACCGCTGACGAGCCGTGGATAGTACGACTGGATCTGTGCGGCTCACACCTCGATTTCAAAATCGACACTGGAGCTGATCTCAACATTATGACGCAGGCCAGCTACAACGCTTTATCTGCACCGCCAGTACTCAGTCCGTGCCAGACACGTATGATTGGGCCTGATGGGAACCAGCTCACGATACAGGGTGAGTTCCACACTTGTGCTGTGTTCCGTGATGTACAGTACCCAGTCACTATCCTGGTCATTGCCACTGGTGGTGTCAACTTGCTGAGCAGGCAGACATCTGAACAGATGGGCCTAGTACAACGTCTTCATGTTGGCTCTTCAGATGCCCAGCCGAAAATCGGATGCATGCTAGGCAATCCAGTCGAGATTGAGTTGAAGCCAGACTGCAAACCATACAACTGTGTAAATGCTCGACGCATTCCAATACACATCCGCCTCAAGGTTCGTACCGAGCTGGAGCGTATGGAAAAAGCAGGTGTCATCACAAAAGTCGAGCAGCCGACCGACTGGTGTTCACCCCTCGCGTCGGTCCTCAAGCCGAACGGCAACGTGCGTGTATGCGTAGACCTCAAGCGCCTGAATGCCAGTGTCAAGAGAGAGCACTACCCGTTACCGACCGTGGACGACACGCTCGCACAACTCAACGGTTCTACCATATTCTCTACGCTGGACACCACGTCTGGCTTCTGGCAGATCCCACTCTCCGAGGAAGCGTCGTTGCTGACGACGTTTATCACTCCCTATGGCCGCTTCAAGTTCGAGCGCCTTCCCTTCGGCATAACGAGCGCGCCTGAGATATTCCAGCGCCGGCTACAAGGTCTACTCAGCGATATTCCCAACGTAGCAGTGTTCATAGACGACATCATCGTCTATGCTTCATCGATGGCTGAGCATGATGCTGCTCTGCTCGCCGTCGAGAACCGACTCTGTGATGCCGGTCTGACACTGAATCCGAACAAGTCTAAGTTCAGATGCACGTCCCTAAAGTACCTGGGCCATCGGATCAGCGACAAGGGTGTCCACCCTGACCCAGTTAAGCTGGATGCCATCGAGCGCCTCGCAGCACCAACTGATGTGAAAGAGCTCCGTCGTGCACTTGGACTCTTCACGTACCTCTCCAAGTTTCTGCCGTCATTGTCGACCGTAGCCGCCCCACTGCGCGAGCTACTCCGGTGCGACTCGACGTGGCAATGGACCAAAGCACATGAGCTAGCTTTCACAGAGCTCAAACGCCTAGCTGCCTCAGCCCCGTGTCTCGCGTACTACGACCCGTCTGCACCGACCATCGTCACGGCTGATGCGAGCAGCTATGGATTGGGTGCTGTACTGCTACAGTTCCACGACAATGAGTGGAAGCCGGTCGCATACGCCTCACGCACCATGACAGCAGCAGAGAAACGGTATGCCCAGACCGAGAAAGAGCTCCTCGCCTCGGTCTGGGGATGTGAACACTTCCATCAATACCTCTACGGAGCGCCCCGATTTACCATTCAGACGGACCACAAGCCGCTGGTCCCACTAATGAACACGCGTGACCTCGACCGAGTACCTCTACGCTGCCAACGTCTACTGATCAGACTCATGCGCTATGATGTACAGGCGGAGTACGTGCCTGGCAAGAACATGGTTCTCGCCGACACGCTGTCCAGAGCTCCTCTTTCTGACACGCCAGCAACCGAATCTGACCTACACAGTGACTCGGAAGCCACCATCGCCGCTGTCCTGTCGTCTCTATGCAGTCCTACCAAGCAACACGCTCTCGTTACAGCCACTGCTGACGATCCAGTCCTGCAACAAGTAATCCAGCATACCCTCCATGGCTGGCCGACCAAGGTCAACGCAGACCTGGAAGCCTATCGCAACGAACGTGGCTCACTCTCAGTTCATGACGGTCTGCTGTACCACGGATTTCGGATCGTAGTCCCGGCATCCGAGCGCAACGCTACACTTGCCACTTTGCATGACGGTCACCAAGGCATAACCAAGTGCCTGGCCCGTGCGAAGTCCTCCGTCTGGTGGCCAGGTATCACACGTGCCATTTCAGAATGCGTGCAGAACTGTCTGACCTGCACCAAGCATCGTTTTCAGCCGCCAGAGCCTCTGTCTCCAACTGCGTTTCCCTCTTTGCCATGGGAGAGAATAGGAGTCGACCTCTGCCAACATGACGGTCAGGAGTACCTCATTGCTGTTGACTACTTCTCCAGGTACATTCACGCCATCCCGCTACGGAAGACTACCTCTGGAGCCGTCATCAAGGAACTCCACGAGCTGTTCGCCATCCATGGTATCCCTCAAGCTCTTGTGTCGGACAACGGTCCACAGTTCGCAAGTGCTGAATTCGCCGCATTCACAGCCCAAATGCAGCTCACCCATCGTACCAGTAGCCCGCACTACCCACAGAGCAACGGTGAAGCTGAGCAAGCGGTTCGAACATTCAAGCGTCTCCTGAAGACCAACAACAGCCTCAACGATGCCCTACTCAGTTACAGGTCAACACCCCTCGCAAATGGCTACTCGCCAGCCGAGCTCCTGTTTGGTCGTCGTCTACGCACACACCTCCCATGTACAGCGGAATCCCTCCCTCCAAGTTGGCCTGATCTTGCCAAGCTAAGGAAGTCCGAGGTGAGGCAGAAAGACAGACAGAGTGAGACGTACGACTCGTCACACCGAGCACGGTCTCTGCCACCATTGACCCAAGGCGACCGAGTCTGGGTGCAAGATCTCGCTTCCGAAGCCGTGATTGCAGACCGCGTCTCCGACAGGTCCTATATTGTCACGACCGACAACCTGTCCGAGTACCGCCGCAACCGTCGCCGCGTCAAGTTGCTACCTGATGTGCAACCAAAACCAACACCGCAGTTGAATGTCACTACACCTGCAGAGCCTCCATCCGCTGATGTCGAGTTCCAGCCTACCTTGCGCCGATCAGCACATCCATCCCGGCCGCTGAACAGACTCGACCTGTAAACGCATTAGTCATTACTCATGCTATGATCACTCCAGTCGCTGACGCTGATGATCGTGAACTGCATGTAGTATTTGTCTGTCTCTACCCTATCTCCTCTGTATGTATATGACTAAATATTCTTCGAGCTGTTACCTCTGTAACCTCTCTCTCTCTTCGAACATAAAAAGGGAGATGTTGTGGTCCCGTTGTTGTACCCGATCCGTTCCGGGATCGGTTACCCATATGCATTCCCGTACTGTGTACATATATGGATCCTGGTTGTGCATCTTTATCTTTCCTTGTTCTATGTAAATAAACTTTAGTTGTTGTCTGGGACTTGTGGAGTGAAGTTGATCTATGGAGTGCAGGAACTAACTTGATGTTCACTCAGGAACATTACACCTACATCCCACATGCAGATGCTTAA